CGAACAAGGAATCAAAGTGAGTAAGAGAAGATGGAATTGTCAGACAATATTGGTGTTGTTCGTTACTGTACCTGAAAAAATAAGATCAGAAGAAAAAGACCAATAACAGGAGAATGCACAAAAATACGATAACAGAGCAAATTTTGAGGCCCAACCCGCCTCTTCTTTTTAGCCTGCCCTTCCTCTTCAACATTTTATTAATCTTCTTTATAATATAATCTTTTTTTCATTATTATGTTTATTGGATAATTACCATTTTAAAAGTTAACATTCCATGTTCATGATCATACATAATTTCAAGCAAATGGTTTAATAAGTTTTTAAAATTTTTAATTTTGTGTTTTATATGTGTTTGATTTTTTCAACTAATAAAACTATTTACTTTTAATTTTTTAAAAATTAAAAAAAAAAAAAAAAAAAAATTTAGTCTTAGCCACAAATAAAATTAATAGGAAAGGATGAAATAAAAAAAAGGAAAAATTATGAATTTAGGCACTATTCCTTCAGAATTCTACACTTCCCGCATCTGTAATTGAAGCTGAAGATTGAAGGGTGAAGAAGAGGACGACGAACAAGTGTAGAAGATGGGAACATTGGGAAAGGCAATCTACACCGTCGGATTCTGGATCCGGGAGACCGGCCAAGCCCTCGATCGCCTTGGTTGCCGCCTCCAGGGAAACCACTACTTTCAAGAACAACGTAACCTTCTTAATTTCCACATTCTTCTTTACGATCTTCGAAGTTTCACCATTTTAATTGCTATTAGGGTTCTATTTCCCGCTGATTTCAATTTGGTGTAATCTTTTGAGCTAATCGATGAAATGGAAAGACGTCATTTTTCATAACTTCTGTTTGGCATTTTTCTGGGCAGAAATAAAACCGGAATGTATATTTTGTAGGCTTTTCTTGGAAATTCGATTTCGCATGCCCTTTTACATCTTGACTAGATTTCAAGGAATTCACATTCGAACAAGGATCTTTTTTGGTTGGACGAGATATGTAGAAGGCATGAACTTAGATATTGTACTGTGATGTTTCGGCTTGTAGATATGAACTATTATAGTCTTATCGTTGCGTAAGAGGAATGTGCATCTGTGTTCATGTTTGTCTGGAGAAACTAGTATTTTTATGACATGTGGGTGTTGGTTTAATTAGGTTTCCATATTCTTCAGTTTAGGCTGTTCATTAGCTAATCTTTCAGAAAATAGCACCATGAATTTTGAGTGCTAAAGTTAGATATTAATTGTAGAGAACTTCCACTTCAGGAAGCTGTAGAACTTCTTCATCCTCTATTGCTCCATGATTTGGGATTATAGTAGTTTGTGATCGATGAAGATTCTGGATGTTCATTATAGTAGATTGTGATTGATAATACATCCTTTTGTCCGTCTTCTTTTCTTTTGAACTAGTACCTCCATTACTGAGAATCCCAATGTCAAAGAAAATAGATTACAAATTAATGGTTGTTCCCAAACACTTTGCAAGCAAGGTCTGACGCAAAATGCTTCTCAAAAGGACATGAAAAATGGAAATAGTGGAACATTGATGGTGCATTATGTTATTCTATGACTTCCCACTATCTCTCGAGGGGCATCTTTGCCATGCCTTTCACCACACCTATCACAAATAGCCATCACATCCACAAGTCACGATCATCTCTATGTGCACTTCTACCCCCCACAATGGTGTTTACCGTCATTTTTAAATTCAATTTTGGGCATGTATGTATTTCGTACTTGACTGATGTTTTATTATATACACTGCAAAACTGTACATGCCTTGGAAATTCATCTGTTGAACCCTTGCTTTTTTTGTGCTAAGGTTGATTCATGCAAATATTGAAAGGCTTTAAGTAAATTATTCAAATGACATTATCTAATAAAGAGTCTTATTTGTTTAGTATCTAGGCACAGGACGCTCATGAACGTATTTGACAAGGCTCCTGTAGTTGACAGTGATGCATTTGTGGCGCCTAGTGCATCTATCATTGGTGATGTGCAGGTGGGACGGGGGTCCTCCATTTGGTATGGCTGTGTTTTGAGAGGTAAACTTAACGTTATTTTTCTGAGAGGAGAAACAATTTCATTGATCAATTAGCTTAAATTTTTCCATTTTTGATATTTTCTTGGATTTGGTTATTTCTAATGCTCTCTATTGGTGTAAATGTGTTAGTCTTTCTTCTTTAATACCCAATTAGAAATCTTACATGTAATTCACTTTTTGGTGTTAGAGGTAAGCTTAACAGTAGCCTCTCTGAATTTGAAGATGTTCGTGTTATTTTTGATCACCCACCTACCCACCCACTAAGTTAGTTTTTCTGCTTTTCTACTTTCCAGAAATCCTGATTATGGGCTTTACGTCTTATGCAAATTGTGTTTAAGAGTACCTCATCCATAATCTTAACCCGAAATTGCCATTCTTTAAGAAAAATATTATTTGCTTTTGAAATTCATTTGATTGAATGATTTGCGAGCTTGTTGAAGCAATGGTCATCCAACGCTGGAGAAAATATGATGAACGCATGTTCGGAACTTATAATTTTTAAAAATATGATCATCTGAAATTTCTTTGAGGCAAGAATATGAAAAGATCTCAAAGATGAAACTCATTGTAGAAAAGTTGTAAAAAAAATAAGTACAATTTTAAAAAATCAAAAGCCCAATGGTAATCAAATGGCGCCGTAAGTTTTAGTTTGTGAGTAAGTATGAGGTCATGCAGATATTAAACTCTTTTTCCTGCATGCTTGCTTGTTCGTATTTACAAATGTTTTGTGTTCCTAGGACTGATCTCTACCAGGACTCGTACTTTAATAGCTTTAAAGTTTAGAGTAACCTGCCAGTTTTTTTTTTTTTTTTTTTTTTTTTTTTTTTT